ATTTAATCTGGGAAGAAGACGAATAGAGGGGCAATTTTCCAGGCCGCTTCCATAAAGGATGTAAAGAGAGAGAGAGAGAGATAAAGAAGAGAGGGATGAAAAGAGGGATGGAGCTGTTCACCTATCAGATTGTAGTGAACTGTAAATGTAATGGATCTGCCAGGTAGCGTTGGACGGGTTTAGCAGGCTGCAGTAGAGCTCTAGGTCAATTAATGCAACAGAAATGAAAATTGTCTATTATGTCCACATGAAACACCTTGTTAAAGCGAAACAGAATTACATCAGTTTTTATCCAGACGAATAAAAACCAAACTATACAGTTCAGAAACTTTTCCACACTTTGTCACGTTAGAATCATATATTTCAATGTATTTTATTGGCTGAGATGACGTGGAATCAATATGGCTTTTCCAGTCTTTTCCAGACAAAAAATTCAAAATAAAATTACTCTGACAACCTTTAACAGAGTACAGCGAACGAAAGTGCCGCAAGAGAAGCAAATAAAAAGTAGTAGCTGTTGTGTTAAATGTTGTCGATGAACAAACGCCGTCATGAAGCCCAATCAGCGGACAGCTCAGGGAGAAGAGTCTAACGCAGCTACTTTTCAAATGAATATGAAAATGTTGTAATGTTTGACAACAAGCTGAAGTTGGTTTCCAATTCTAGCTTCTGATTCGGGAATGGCTAAAGGGCGATTCCACCTAATTTTTCAATACCTTCTGCTTCTTTAATCAACTCTAGTTTAAAAACTACAACAGCTAAACTCTTCAAACCTGGACTGGATTATTCTGCTGTAATAGCAGAATATTTTATATCATGTTTATGATTTGTGAAACTTCAATAAAGTTTTATTTTACCACTTTTTTGCATCAGGACCATACTAGAACTGCTCCAGCTCCACAACTACAACACCTAGACACTTCAAAGCGTCTACATGTTGTAGTTTTGGAACCAGAGCAAATCTCGTGTGACTGAGACCAAAAAAAAAACCTTTATTGAAGTTTCACAAATCAGAAAAAGGTTTCACAGATCCCACACATGGTTATAAATATTCTGCTATGAGAGCAGAATAATTTAATCCAAGTTTGAAGTGTCTAGGTCAGGGATGCTCAATACGTCAATCGCGCATCAACGTTTTGACGTGAGTCTGGTGTAAGAAGGAAAAATGGCTCGTTTTCTTTCCCAAAGAAAAAATAGAAATTTTACAACTGCTAAAATCTGACTCAATTCCACATTTGCTCACATTTTGTGAAGAAAGAAGTTGTTCATTTTCGTTTCTTTGAGTAGCGCCCCTACAGGTAAGGAGTGGAGCAAGTTTTTTAATTGGTTTGGATGTTTGACATGGTGCAGCGTGAAAGAGAACCACACCAGCTGAAATGTAATAAATGTTGCAGTTTTCACCCCAATCCGACAGGGATTACCAAGCTATCAAATGTGAAAATGCCCTCAGAATCGATTGCAAAACTTCAACTGACTACTAAGGTTGACTTATTCTGCAATCATTTTACTCTGTAGATGTGGAAACCCTCAAAAGATTTGAACTTTTCTTTTTGTCTTCACAACTGTTCTCGACCTTGTTCACGTAAAACCCAAATAAAATCAGTCAAGCTTGTGGCTGTACGGAAACAAAATGGGGAGAAGATTTCCACAGTTTACACTCTCCAAGGTCAGCAAATGCCCAAAACAAGATTCTCAGGGTCAACTCCCGTATTTGATGTCTCAATAAAGTGTGGAACAATAAATAATTAGTTCTCCTTCTGTCACTGAAGCAGAGATGTCAATAAAGTAGACTGCTTGATGAGACGGCAGCCGAAGCATTCAGGGATGTGTCATTTCATTACTAATGAGGGGAAGATGACCCGAGTCCGTCTTACAAAGTCGAAAAAGATCCAGGCTTATTGATCAATCAATCGCTCAGCCTGAATTTATTGGGAACACTTGAGCTGAATGAAGTATTGATCGCCGCTGCACAGTCTTTTGTTTGCTGAGATAAATATTTACAAGCTATGGGATGATTTGTTTTAATGTTCATCTTTCAGCTAAAACCTGCTTTCACTCAAAGTCAAAAGTTACTGAATTCCTCCTTTGCGTTTGTTTAGCTAGAAATTCTGCAGATGAAACAAACATTGACGGTCGCGTCTTGAGATCATGTCGAGGCTATAAACTCTGCTGGTTTACTGAGACCTTCCGCGCACCAGAAATGCAACTCCTCACTCTAATTTGTGGCCTCGACTCTCGCTAGTCGTGACCAAGAGCTCCCCTGGGAGCCGAGAGAATCCCTCTTTTCGCAATCCGTCAAATAACCCCGCACCAGGGACAGATTGAGGTAGGGCGGTGGAGGGAGTCAAAGACTGGAGAGGCTAAGAGTGGGGAAAAAGAAGCCCTTTATCTTCATGAATGGGCTGTGGCAGAAAGCACTGATTGGTACAACGGCGCTGCTCGCCCTCTGGTAGTCTCTTGGCTCTCCCTGCGCTCAACTCCAAAGAGAAATGAACTGATGCAAGAGTGGTTTGAGATTGACTCAACTGAGGCTGAAAGAGCGAGAGGCGGCTCAGGGAGCCGATGGTGAAGGTAAAGTATCTGTGCGTATCGAGGTATGAAGAAGAACTGAATGAAAGGCAAGGCAGAGATACATGGAAGCCAAAACACTGGACGGCAGTAAAGAAAGTGGCACCAAAATGTAACATTCGTCTGACTTCATGATGTGCATGGAATTTTACTAGAATTTAGGCCTTAAGAGATGGATTTGAAAAGCTGCTTTTCTCTGGGTGCAGAAGTTTGAGTTTGAGTTTTTTTTCTCTCATCTGAACAGACAGAGAGTTAAGAGCTCAACGTTGATCCCTCTCCATTCATATGGACCTTCTGCATCTCAGTGACTGGTAAAATCACTGAAATACAAAAATTTACCTTTTGTTATGCTCTTTAGTGAATGCACGATAATCTGTAGCAATGGAAGCATCTGCAGCGAAAAAACAATTTTAACATCTCCATGTCAAAAGTTCAGCTTTCTGCTTGGCTTAACATCAGTGTAGTGGAGAGATGATCCATTCTTTGGATTAACTGGTTAATAATTGGATAGTAAAAGGTGCTTAATAGGAGATTTGATTTATTTATTTACATAATTTAAGCTTTGCCACTACAAGAGTTATGGGTGGAACTCTTGACAGTTTTGGCTGAATCATTGCTGAAGATGTATTGTTCTTTCAGCAAAATTGATTCTTTGAGTTTGTATAGTCCAGTAAAAAATTCATTGGTTACTAAATTAGTAGACGATTATTTATTAATCATGATTAATCTGAATAAGCCCTCTCAGAGAGTGAAGGTTAGGGTCGTATGTCCAGGACAATGATCCCAAATAGACCCAAACCAGCAGGTTAACATGAGGCTTCTGCTCAAAATTGTTCAACATGCTGACTGCAAATATGCTCAACAAATGAATGAAAGCCAACCAATTTAAATGAATTCAAGACAAGAAAGAGACAGAACTATCCCTCAAATCAGCAGTTAATTCAAATTGGAACAACTCATTAAAACTATTTGTTAAATCATCACCAGGAAATAAAAGCCGCTGAAATGCATCACTGAAAATGAAAATGTCATGGTGGGCTAATATCAAACCAAACTTCATTAAGACCAACAATTTCTCCAGCCAGCTGTCAATTAGAATTTAATGTATAGAAATCAGATGATTTAAAATGTACAGAGTCAAAACAGACCACCTGTTCTGTTAGAAACAGATGGAGTGGCAAAACAAATCCCTTCACTCAACATGCAAAACGTTTGTTTCTATAAAAACTAAATATAAGAAGGACCTCTGCTTAAAAACCCACAGACCGTCGCTCCCTCCTGGCGGTGGCAGGAATTCCCCAGATCCAGCCAGCAGTGACCAAGGTTTGCCCTTGATGTGGTTTGCTTCACTTTATTGATCATAAGCTCTTCTCTTAATGCCAGGCTGTTTTTCTATTTTATTTGGAGCATCGTAAACTGAAGGTCACGCTGCACACGCATGGTCAACAATCACCAGTGTTTGCTCAATTTATTATCAGCAGTGGCAAAATAAGCGACAGTCAGCAGCACTCATGTAACATGGAGTTAGAGAGGGGCAACAATCTGCTTTAATCTGATTAAATCATTCAAATGTCAACCAGCTGCAGCAGACGTGAACTATGAACCAAAGGCATTTTCAAGAACATCTCACTTCATTACAATAGCACTAAACTGCCTCAGTGATTCAGTTTAAAACAGATTCATTCCACACATAACAATATTCAATTTATCAGAAAATTTCAATCTTGCATATTACCGGTGAAAAGAAAAAAGGATTTTATCAGAGAATTGCTGAGTTTCAGCCTCACAATCATGGAGACACTGCTGGTCCTTCACAAGGAGGAGACAACAAAGGTAATTGTTTAAGACCCTTTCAGTTCACACACTTCTGCATGTAAAAGTAACAAAGAAAAGTTGAGTGCAAAGAAAAGTGTAAGCAAGGGATGTGAAGCAAAGTTCAATTAATTGGTAGAATCATGTTTTCCAAATAGTTCCATTTTATGGCACAATCGACTAACTATGCTACTTTCATGGTTATAAAAATGCTTCACATATATCAAACATAACTTAATCTGATTTAGCAAATTGACATCTTGAAATTGTGTCTTTGTCTCTTTAAGAAGCTCCTGCTCTTTTTGATGCTCTGCTTCACACAGCATCTCTGTGCTAAACCTCAATGCCTGAAGCGTTTGGCCGACGAGCTCAGCTGCTTCTCCAGGCATGTGCTTGGTGAATTTGGGTTTTTGAGGTTAACGGGAATACATGGATGAACTAAATGAATCTGTGTTTAATGGGAGCTGCACTTCCTGAACAGACTTACAGAAATTGATTTTTCAATTATCTTCTGATCTGTTGAGATGCTTCAATAAAACCAGTTAAAACAGAGCACAGACAGACAGCAGGTCTGAGATTAGTGGAAGTGTTCTTCTTCAGGACATTACATGTTGACTTACGGGGGCAGTTGGCGCCCTCTGGGCTGCTGGATGGGGTCTTTCCGTCGGGACAGCAGCCGAACTCTGTGTTGTCACAGGAGGACCTCTCTTCAGCAGTGGCAGCAGCAGCAGAACCTGCCACCGGCGAACCTGCAGGTGACACAAAGTCTGGATAAAAATTCATTCAACTTTAGCAAAAAATCATGAATATAAATCATGATTTATAGAACCTAAATTTATTGATTTATTGAAACTAGAACCTAAAAGATGTGTGCTGATTTTGTATTGCTGAGTTCCTCCTGCTCCTCCAGGTGTTTGTGCATTTTTTTTTCTCTGTCTGTTGACCAATGATTGAGCACTGAAAGAGGCATCTGTCAGGGTGATTATATGGCATTTCATGGGCTCTGATTTTACAGCTGGAACTCATTTTGTCAGACAGAAAACCCTTAATGGGCACTGTTGCCAGTCATGTCACACACAGAGCGCTTTAAATGATAGGGGAGTGTGAGAACTGCTGACTGGCTGGCAGTTCCCCTCAAGGCGTCCCAGAAAAATCAAAAAGAAGAAAAAATTCCTACAGTGTCCTGTTACTGCTGCTGCCACTGTGTATCGGGAGACATTAAAGACATAAAAGCGGTCAGACTTTCTCTACTCCAGAGAACATCGTCCACTCTCTTGTCGGCGGCACAGGACGCGGTCTTGGCCAAAGCAGAGCGGTTTACAGCCACGCAGGGATTAGAAATGATCACAGGCAGAAAAGGCTCACGGCTAAACAAGCCGTAAAGACGTCAAGGGGCAGGGACGTCCTATTCCAAGTCTCACGGCCAAGGGTTGCGAGAGGGAGGAAGAAGGGTTATTGGGCGCATGTTGGAATGCGGTCTGCAGATTTACAGAGCATGAAGAAGAAGAGAAACAGAGCAGGAGAGCAAGGGCACTCTGTGAGTCCTGCAGGAGCAAAGCAGGACGTGAACACAGAGATACAGACAGACAGGAGTCAGAAAAAACTGAAACACATTTCTGACTGACTTCACATTTATTTACAAATTGAACAGGACAAGAATCAGAGACAGAAAAATAAACAGGACAAAACACAAGACACCAGACTTTTCTATCGGTTAGCATCTGTGTTAAAATCACAACTGTTCGTACTAACAGACAAATACCTTCAAAAGGTATTCAGACAAACTGAACTTTTCAAATTTGTCTCATTATAACTGACATGTCTTACTGGGATCTTATGCAACAGAGCAACACAAGGCAGCACGTAATTATGAAGTGGAAGGAAAATAATGGATGACTTCCCTCTTTTAACAGGTAGGAGGTTTGGAGATACATATGGACTTTTATTCTGATAGCTCTTAAAGAAACAGTATTATGTCATCTTGACATTTTAGAGCTTTACTTAATGTTATATTATTTCCTCATCAGGAATAAACCTGGAGTTTTGTTTTGATTCTTTCATGCATGTCTGACAAATCCTTCAATCTCTGTGACAACCATTCAGCTGTGCAAAACACCTGGGGGGACCTAGCTCCACCTCACAGAGCAGCTCTTCCACTCAGCTCCTTCAGACTAGCCAGGAGCAATTAGCAAACATCTGCTGAGCTCGTTATAGGAGCTGAGGAACACTGGTTAAAACATTAAAGGGTTAACAGAGCCATGTTGAGAGGAGCTTCAGAAAGACGTATACACGTCTTTTTTACATGTCGGCCATGTAGCAGCAAGACTGCCTCCTTCCGTCTCATTTTCAACTTGTGCTTAAAGTGCACATTTTAAACTAGACACCAGTTTTTAAATTGTGTTAATAGGCCACGTAAAACCGGAGTTATGCTAAAATACCTAAACCATATCTTTCCGAATTTCAGAGAAATGTTAAGAATGGCTTTTCTGGGAATGTGACAGGAAATGAGCTTCCAAACATAAAAAAGTAAACGTAACATTATATTCCTTTGTTATTGGAAATCTCACATTTTCAACAAATAATTATGGGCTGTATTTTGTTGCTAAGAAACGAAGTAAAGTTGCTCAAGTTACGGCGAAAGAGAAGCGGAAACGGAGTATCGGCAAAGGCACTGAGATCGTGAAATGGATGCAAAGTTTGGATATCAGGGCAATAGGGTGGGGCATCCACTTCGTCATTTATTTTTAGCCTAGTGGTTTCTGTTCTGTATGAAAAGGATTATGTGAAGAATGTACACGCAGCATGCAGTGGCGCTCAGTTTTGAGCCAGAAGACGAAGAGGGAAAACCCAGAGTTGGAATCTGGGCGCAGTGAGGATTCCCATGATGACAATGGCTGATCCATCATTGTTATTAGCAACTGACAAAGAGTATCAGACTGAGAGCACGATGACATCCTGGCAGTCAGAGAGGCAGGTGCTCAGAGACCCCAGCAGGGGAACGGCGGCGCTGCGCGGCTCCAACGAGGGGATCACTGCGGGGTGAGGCAGAGCCAGTCCCCAGCTGCTAGTAGTAAACAGCTTACAGCCACTCTGGGAGTCAAGGTTTTTCAATAGTCTAAAAGATTGTTTTTTACCTTGTTTTTCCAAAGAATTACACATTTTTTGTCATCTTGTTTTGACCTATGATGTTTTTTTCAAAAATTGCATACATACGAATGAGGAATTGCCTTCATTTTCATGCTAATATTGCAAAATATTGCAAATTTCTTAAACATCAGTTTAAGAAATTTACAGTATATTTTATAATTCTAAATGATAAAAATCATTTCTTGTGAATATTTGACATTTTCACAGAGGAAAAAAATAAAAAAATTTCCAAATCAAATTTTTTGTTTCTGTGACTGCCACAGTATGTCCAAAAGTAAAAACTAAGTGTAAATTCATAAAGTTCAGATTGTATTGAAAAAATTGTACCACATAAGGTAATATTATATATACTGCTCCAAAAAATAAAGGGAACACTCAAACAACACAATATAACTCCAAGTAAATCAAACTTGTGTGAAATCAAACTGTCCACTTAGAAATCAACACTCATTGATAATCAATATCACCTGCTGTTGTGCAAATGGAATAGACAACAGGTGGAAATTATTTTCATATTTATTTCATTCATTCAGATCTAGGATGTGTTATTTGAGTGTTCCCTTTATTTTTTGGAGCAGTGTATATTAGATATGATGATTTCCATTAAGGTAAAATAAAAAATCTGTCAAAAACGACCACAGGTACCTGAACTCCGAAGGGTTACAGTGACAGAGGCCCAATTTCAAGGCATTAAATTACAAATTGAAATTTGTTTTATATTTGATATGGCTTTTTCATAACTAACTACTGAAAAGCGTAATACTGCTCCTTTAACAATATTTAGTTTCTGTCTTCAGAAGTGGCCTGTCACCTATCCCATGTTGGTCAGAGAATAAATGGCATCATGAAGGACCACAGCAGACAGGTCAGGTCAGGGGGAAAATTCTCAGCTCTGGTCAACAAAGATGAGGGGACCAGGACAAGAAAAACTATTGTTCAAAGAAAGCCATAAAAACGTCAGTTTCTTCTGTCTGGTTTTGGAAAAATATTTTTAAAAAGCCTATTGGTTTCAGCCTGAAAACATAAAATAATTGAAAACAACAAAATAAAACTCCAGATGCCATTGTTTCATTCTGTTGTTAAAATCTGCAGCAAAAAAAATAAATAAATGAATGCCTATTTTTTACTTTATATTATAAAAAGCTCTGCTCAGTTCTGTTAGATTACTGAACAAAGTTATTAGGAGCCACTGACAGGTCAGAGGTCACAGTCCGATGAATTAGGTTGATGTTTCAGTCTCTAGACGCACAGAATGATGGAAACATTCAGCCAAACTCTAAAACAATTACAGCAGATTCTATTTTTAAATGTTCCTTTCACTTCAATTTCTACGTCACAGAAATAGAAAAATCCTGATGCAGTTTGAAGTTATAAAATTTAAACCTTCGATAAGTATGATTACTTTTGCAAGGCACTATAAATACATATGCATAGAGTAAGATTAAATAAATGAAAATATGCTTTCAGGTGAGGCCAGGTGGTCAGATTAAAAGTATTTTGTAAAATAACCTTTATGCAGGTGTTAAACATACTTTTACATCGAGACCGTATTTCTCAATGTTAAACGTTTTTTTAAATGGTTTGATGTGATATTCTGAATGTAAGAGTCATATTTTGTTATCTGTAAGTGAAACATCATAATAATCAACATCAAAGAGCATTTCAAACATTGTATGGAATTAATCTATAAATATTTCGGTTGGTGAACTATCCGACTTTGCATGATATTCTAACGTATAGCCTGAGCTGCAGAGCCACTGAACACACCCTGTGCCTCACAGCAGCTCCCTGCTCGCCGCTCAGCCGCTGGTCAACAGCATGGAGGAAGCACAGCGCCACTCCATCAGGCCTGTCCTGTCACTGCGAGCCGCCAAACCAGGCTGATGGATGGATGAGAGCCAACATCAGGAAAGAATAAAAGAAAAAAGAAGGTCTAATTGGAAAGCCTAGGCTGGAAAAGCAACAGCTGGATGCTACAGTCAGGAGGCTAGACTCGTCATGTGACAAGGAGCAATGGCGCTGCAAGCACTCGCAGCTGGACCTTGGATCTGTGGATCTCTGGAGTCTGTCGGGTCATGCTCCAGAGATCCACAGACTCGGCCCAGCGCTCTCTTCTATCTGTGGTGCTGGGAGTGTATTTTACAGAGCCTGACTTTACTCTGTGAAGCTGCTGAGGGGGCAGGAGGGGAAAAAGACAGCAGGTGATGGCGCTACAGTGAACCACGCAAATACTTTCTTTCTGAAATGGAGATATATGTCTTCTATAAGTGAAAAAAACGAGAATAACAGCAATGTGAAGATTTCCTCTCTTTATCTGTCTGGTTTTGAAGTTTTTTTCTCCAGCAAAACCTATTTGCATACAATTACACAAGCCTTGCTTCCTAGTTTTAGTTCCTAATTAACAGATGATGGCATGAATGCGTTATGATGTCAGCTAATGATTGATTCTGAATTTTTCCAAACCCTGCAGATAAACCCAACCTCCCACCTAACAGGATTATGGAGAATGAAGTGAAAAGCAGTGATTTACCGCCAGAATCGTCTGAACCGCTGGCCTCCGACTGGACGCCACTACCAACATCCCGTCCATCCTCCTCTTCTTCTTCGTCACCGCTCGGGTCGCCGCTGCCCGAGCCCTCCAGAGGGCCCGAGGTGGCGGATGACTGGATGCGGTTGGATGGAACGCGGCCGGGGGAGGAGGTGGAAGAAAAGACGGCGGTGGTGTCAGGCGGCTCCATGGATGCCGGCTGGGCCGTCATTGGAGGCGGGATGGCGTACACCATGTTAGAGATGAAGGGATCGGGGGTGGTAGTGATGACGGCCGTTGAGGCTGGGCCGGTGGTGGTGGGCGGAGGGTTGGAGGTGGGTCGGTCTGCCGCGTCAGAGATGTTTTCTGGTGAAGGGAAGGGGAGGAAGCAAGGAATGGATGAATGGCTGAGCAAAGATGGGAATGGTTGATTTTGCTTCACTTTTAATAAAACCTTAAAGAAACCGGATGAAAGTCTCTGTCTTCTAGCGAGGCTTACCAATAAAACCACAAAAACACAACACAACAACGGATGAAAGTTTATCTCTCAGCTCAGTCTTGCAACACTGGGAGTTTTTGTTTCCACTTTTATTCACATGAAATTATTTTATTAGATTTCCAATGAACTTTCCTTGCAGCAGAAAACTATTCCCACAGAATAATTCTGCCATGTTTTACCAAGGAAAAGGTTATACTCAAGGTGTCACCATCAGTGGTAGGCACTGCTAGCTGAGACATTAGTTGTGCTAAAAGCTTATAAAACTAGATCAGCTAGTTTTATAAGAAAAAATAAATCTATTTATTGTAGATTTATTATTATTGTAGAAACAATAATATACTTTATTGTAGAAAATGTATTTATGCAAAGTTAAGTATGCTAAATGTTTTCAAAGTTGGCAAACATGCTTGACAAAAAAAGAGTCTGTGTGCCCGACGCTGCTTTCCACCCAGACTTTTTGTTGATCATTATGTGTTAAGTCTATAGTCTTATGGTAATGCATTATATTTTATAGTTGTGACAAAATGTGAAAGAAATCCAGAATGTTTGCAAGGACATGCATCTGAGGGAGACAGACTGAACTACATGAGTTTAGTTTCTCCAGCTCTCAAATGCGCTATTTCTGTATTTATGCTTGTATAGGTAGGCAGAAGACCTACGTGCAGCATCGTGTGCAAGCCTATGAATTATATATCCAAATTCAAGTGCTGCCCTGCAGTAGCAAAGCTTTAATCACCAACAGTCAGTGCCTACGGTGATGAATGATTGATAGAAATGGGGCAAAAAAGCTGGGTTTGCTCTGACTTCAAAGATGGCAGGCTGCTGCTTGCAGAGAGCTCCAGCCGCCATCAACGGCACCGCTAACGTGCCGCTGTCAACACGTGCACACAAACGCGTATGCAACAACAAAAATAAATAACTCCAAATGAGGAGGAAGAGGAGAACCTCTGTGTAAAGAGACCATCATTACCAATGCAAAAAAGCTCAGGTGCAAAAGGACAAACTGTCTGCGATGAAAGAACGATAAATAGGACAAAAACTCCAGAGGGTGACGAGCGGTTGGCGTGCTGAGGAAAGGAGTGACAACATTGTTATTTTTCTACTTCACATCCCGGGAGAGTAGAAGCGTCTTGGCCAGAGGATGGGAGAAAACCAGCTCTGTAGATTTCCACCTCATTAGGATTCGCCTAACACTACAGTATGTGTAAGACTTAATTACAGCACTATTATCACAGAGTTGATCGGCAATTATTTACCGAGGTGTGAAATGTGATACCTACAGAGACAGCAGAATGCCTCAGAGAGACGGCTTTAAGAGCTGCACAGATAACTGCTGGTGGGAGAGATTCAGTTCAAAGAGTGTTGATGCTATCGCCAAGAAAGATGGCATGGCGTGCCTTTCCCCTCGGATACACCTGTCAGTCAGGTGCCAAGCTCAGCGTCCAGGGGATGCATGGATCCAGAGAAAAATGTTTGTGGGATATCAGTAGTGAACTTCATGATGTGGGATAAGCAGAGATAAGCACCTGTTTGAAAGATCCCAGAAGTCTCAGCAGATACGTCAGATTTACCAGTCCATTTAGCTGTTTCTGCTGCTTTGCTTCCTCTGGGAAGAACAATGGACGGTAATGTTAGAGGGCAGAGAGAAAGAAACAGAACCGCTGTGTTCTCAGCATGCTTTCTACCATATTATTACTGAAAGGTGGTTGTTAAATCCTCACAATGTCAGGAGGCAAGGAAACCCACCAAGGAAAGTTGAACAACCCCTAGACTGTTGAAATCAAACAACAAAAAGGGCTAAAATGGTAGCAGCAGGTGAAAAGTCAGAACAGAAATCGGGTTTGAACAACGTGAGATAAACTCCCAACATGAAGGAAGGATGGAGGAATCAGCAGAGCCCGAGCTAACACGCAACATGAGGGCTGTAAGCAGCATATGTCCGCCGCTCCTGCCAATGCTCCGCAAACCTACAGGTGACACCGACAGATGGGAGAGGCGGGGCCGGTGGTAACCCACTGATCGTCTTCTTCCAGCAGTGATTTGCTCATCGGTGCAAATGCCTCCCCACCGGAGGCTGCCGCTGTGGCTGCGACTCTAATTTACAGGATTTCTAAGATAACTTTGAGTTTTGGATTAATTAAATATGAATACCACTGGATTTGTATTTTAATTTGACAAGAAAACCTCATTTGTTTTATAGGAATTTCAACACAAACAATTGTTTGCCATTATAAGCTCAGCATAATAAGGTTTATACGTCACTGTGGAAGAATTTTGACCTTTTTTTGTGAGCAGAATTGCTTTAATTCAGCCTCCACTGAGGATTTTTAGATTGTTTAACTGAATGTGCTTTTGGAGTATTTTTTGCAGGATTCTGTGTCTTTCTGAGCTCTCCAGACTGATGGATGCCTGTGACTTTGTTTCTCATCTGCTCTTGGATTCTGATCGAAGCAGATTGTGGTGCTTTGTGAGCTCTCAGCCTACTCCATGCTGTCAGACAGGGTCACTTTAAATGACTTCCACATGTCTGGCAGCAAGGAGCCAGTAAATGTATCACGATGTAAGCGTCTCATATCAGTCGATAATTGTTGATTACTTTTTGTTTTAAGTATATATGGAATATATGAATAAAACAGTTGAGAATAAACTGTTTTATTCAGTTTTCACTCCACATCATTGTTGTTGATCTAATTAATTAAGAGGCTTGGTGTGAAAACATGAAACTGTTGCTGCACAAGTTACTCAGCAGCCTGTTGCTGGGCAACCAGTGAATGAATGGATGTTATCAACCTTTTTCAGCTAGCCATGAGAGGTTGACCAGTTAAAGGCTTTTCTTCTGCCTACATCTCCCAGAATGGTGGGAAAATTCTATCAATGTATTACCTATTAATATTGATCACTTATATATTGTTATTGACTTATTGTCCAGCCCTACCTGGGAGTTATTAATGAAATTAAATGTGGTTGGTCTCAATTCTTTCTTGATCTAACAAGGTGGGACAATTATACCTCCACATAAGACCAAGTCAGTTTTAAAATCAATTTATCTATAATAAATTGATCAAATTATAAGTTGAGAACCGCATTTTGAATTTACTGTAGGTTGTACTCTGAGGTTTCCAGTTCCCTCTTCCACAGGGCTGCTTTTGGACTACAGAGGCTAGTTCCCAAACATTTGAACATTTTACTCACAACATTTTAATGTTTTATTTTCCACCAGTGTCTCCAGTGACACGATGAAGCGATGTAAGAGGATCAATATCCTCAGACCTCAGACGACATTAGTGCGTTGCAAAGCCACGCGTCTGGAGGCGGCGTGGGGGAACAGAGAAAGCGGGCAGCGCTGCGGTGTGGAAATGGGCAGAGCAAAATGCTAATTCGCAGCCAGCCGTAGTTGAAATGAGCTGGAGATCCGACAGCAGCAACCTGCGGTGCTACCGCTTCCCATTGGAGACATGAGCAGATCCTCTGCTCCTCACCGTCTCCTCAGGGCTGGATGGAGGGAAACGGCACGCAGACGGCATCCATCCCTGTGCCACTATGCTAAGTGAGAGATAACTCACTTACCACGTCTCCATTGTCAGGCAACAGAGGAATCAGAAACTAGACTGGATTTTGGCTCCTATCATAGCTGAACCCACCCACGGCACTGGATGTGTAATTACCAGTTTCTATTTTTTTTCTCCGTGCTCCCAAAACTCCAGCCGGTCCTAGACCACCATGGCATGCTCACCTCCACTGGAAACGGTCCTAACTTTGGGTCTGGTGAAAAAGCCATCTCTGACACTTTTGGGTCACTTGGTCTGTGCCCTACGATGATGAGGGGGATGAACATTTTTCCCCCACAAAGCGTTCACACACTTGGCAGACACACAGCTGGCTGCGTTTCTTTTCTAGATTCCTGTTGAGATCCAAGCTGGCAGCTGTGCCACATCTTCACTCTCCATGCAAGCTGCAGCCTTGGCGCCATTCCAGCACCCCTTACAGCGATCCAAACAATGTCCATCAACATCTGGACTGAGAGAGCAGGAGCTACCTCCCCTCACCCACCTACCCCCATCACCACCCTACACATGTGTTCTACATGTTCAACCACACTCTGACAAAGATTTAGCATAACGAAGCCAGAGGATTCCCAGCCACAGTTTGACAGGAATTCATGTGTTATAGCTGGGCCTGTTGCAATAAATGACAATATAAACTAACAGCAGATCAATATTGTTCTTTCAAATGTAGTTTATTAGCCAGTGAGAGCACAAGCTTCCATTATTATGCCTTTACCTTGATTTGAAAACGGTTTCCAATAACAATATTGACATTTAACACAATTTCTGGGACAATTTATTGTCAAGTAACATTCATGGTAACAGGCTTAGCTGTAACACAGAAAATATATCATAGTCCAAAGTCTGGCCACATTATAAGGTACACCTTTCTAGTGCTGGACTGGATCCTCAGTTGTGTTGATTTTTTGGACCCTCTTTAAGCTTCAAAGCTGCCTGAGTTCTTCACAGCATAGATTTACAAATGTGTCAAACACTGATCACATGCTAATTCTACTTGACCTAAAAGAAGAAAAGTTTGGTCTGACTTAACTTCAGACAGAGAGGAAAAATGTGTCTGTTTTTTTATAAAAATATCTGATTTCAACATTCAAGATCATCACTTCATGATAAAACAGTGCAGTTTGAATATCAAACACTTTTCAAGACTTGATTTGGAAACCCAAAATTTCCATATTTTGAAAATACCCAATTGAAATTCAAACATTTTCAAGGATTTCAAGCACCTTAACAAACCCCGATAATATGGCACAAAACAGTGAAAGGCAGGATGGATTCTGGGAGACGTCTGCACCACAGCATCACTCTAAGATGAACATTCAGCAGCGAAAAATAAATCAATCCACTTTCAACATCTCATGCATTTCAGCCTGTGATTAGAGACGATTAGATGCTGTCACCCTTTACTGCACCACTAAACCACAAGCTGCAAATCAGATGGCAACTAAACCCAGACAGACATTCTGCTAAATACACAGCCAGGCCCCACTGACTGGGCATGCTAACCTGCATCAGAAACTGGTTTAGGGCGGAGCCACAAACAAACTTTCACTCAGGGGGCCAACAAGAGAATCTCAGATTGGACTCTGTCTAGATGAGTTGTAATAAGTTGAGAGTCACTTTCTAACATCCAGAACCTTTGTCTAAACTCCAGCAAGTTGTCTCCTCCAGGAGGCTAACTGTAAGATTTGATTGATTACCTATTTGCATTCGAAACTAAGTGTACCTAATGTTGTGGACAGTAAGTGTATGCGCTAAAATTAACTTTCAGTGTTTGTCATTACAATCTGTGAGACAGAAAGCTGGAGTGGTGCGAATACAGCAGGGCTCCAACAGCGATGCTCATTATCTGCTGAGTGCAGCCTGGCAGCAGCTGGTTGACGCGCAGGGTGATGCATAGAGGAATCACCCAGGCTCACCTGTGCACTGTCCAGAGTGCTGCACGCTAACGTCCTTGTCCTGTCTGCAGGCGATGGTCCTCAGTTGGCACTGGTCAGCATAGGTCACCCCATCTGAACCGCACACCTGCACCAGAGTAACAGAGATAGAGGGACAGCAGCTGAGCCACACGTTAGCTCCCTGGACCGCCGGCAATCCTGAAAAGATCAAACCCCTAGCCGCTTTGGAAGACGTACCTTTGTCTTGTTTCTTAAGTCGCAGTCAGGTGGCGGGCACTGACAGTGGGCCTGGCCATTTTCCTCCAGGCAGGTGGCTCCATAACTGCAGAGCAACTCTTCACAAGATGTTGGGGCATCAGGGCCTGTGGAGGACAGGTTTGATTTCTTACTGCAACATCCTGATGACAGAGGTGAGCAACAATACAATGACTGCTATGTTCTACTCTTCCATCATGACATGAGAATGAAAAATCTTTTTCTTTAGAAGAATAAGGAAACTCGCTTCTTTCATCTGTTTTAAATCTAACAAATGCTGCAGCTTTTAAAAGAATGGTGTTTAATTATTTTATCATATAAATTGTTCGCATGAAAAATGATGTTATTGCTGGCAGTTTGTTCCCCACAAAGTTACATCCTTGCTGATCAAGTGAAACTGCCAGGCATCCTGTCTGTGTGTGTGTGTGTGTGTGTGTGTGTGTGTGTGTGTGTGTGTGTGTGTGTGTGTGTGTGTGTGTGTGTGTGTGTGTGCATTCCATTATTACAGCTTCACCTTATGCTTTACTGTGTCATACCCTCTGAGTACCTTGTCTCTGTACCCAGCAGTGTGTGTGGCAGTGAGGTGGGACTGCCGGCTTCATTAAGCGTTTGACTTCCAGTCGATGTCTGATGGTGAATCTTAATCAAGGAGCTGCAGGCTCTCAGCAGGAGCTAACCTTTCCTTCAACTGTTTTCCTTTTTTTTAATTCAGTGCAATCGCCAGGGTGGGTTTGCATTTTTAATCAAAAGCAATCAATAGTGCTGACACACAGATCTAACATGTGAGCGCTGGAGATGGTCCAACAAGATGCAGACAAATAGAAATATCAATGGGTAATATGTTGTCCATGGGCCTTTTGTACACTTCACTATTTCCCTAATCACTATTGATTAGCCGTCCCGGAGCCACTTCCTGCTCTGCCAATAAAGCTGATGGATGTGAAGAAGAGATGAAGAAAGAGTGGCTGCTTTAAAGCTTTTCCACAAATCAGATAAGAGACAGAAATGCTCTTCAGAGCAATGGAGCGACTCTGGGAGGCCCCGGGAGCCTGGTCTGCATTCATCATTATTTATTATCGCTCTTATTACCAGACAGACACGAGATGGTGCTGGAGCACCTGCTCTCTGTTGCTGTGGACAAAAGGAGCCCTTCTCAAATCTTTTTCTCTGTTTTTAGACACCGTAGTATTAATCAGTAATAACAAAAACATTTTTTATTTACATCCTGCAGCTTTAATATTAGTGACCAATGGGCACCAGCCCCCCCAAATGTCTGTGGACGCCTCTGCTTATTACCGTGGTCACAGCCGTTCATGCCCATCCTGCTTCCATCTGGACACACGTTGCACTTCAAGCCTTTCATCCCTGTTTTGCAGGAGCACAGGCCCGACATCTGCTCACAATCATCCCGGACCGAACCGGTGGGATCGCAGCTGCACGCTGAAATTCCAAAAACAAAAAAAGAGGCATGATTAGATAATTGATTAGTGCTGATGACGGGCAGATCGGCCGTCGCTTAGAGCGGTAGACAAACAAAGCGAGTCTGGAGCATTTTAGCCCGAGCATGTTGCTTTAAAGATACATGTTTGTCTCCGACTGAGGGGTTGGGAACAGTTCAACTTGCCTCGGGGTTCACAGAGGGGAGGAGTGGGAGGAGGAGAAGGAGCGTGTAAGACCAACTTAAAACAATAACCTCGGGGAAGGACATCATGCCCATCATGTTCCTAGAATCAATGATGTGATTATTTTTCTCCCTGCTCCTCCCTCCTGCTGAAGCTGTGACTGGTGTTCTGTTTTGCTTTCTGCCTATGCTGACTAAACCTTGTTAAAGGTCAGGCCACAGGTGACACACCTGCGGGCTTCCTGCTCCATGGCTCCAGCAGCGGGTGTCCTCCAGTACGGCATCAGCGAAGCCGCTCAGCATATCGCGTTACATCGAGACAAACAAGCAGGTCCCAACCTCACACTGCCACCCGCATACAAATGGAAACAGTTTATTCAATCCAGTTTTGACAGCGCTAAAGGACACAACAGAAAATCAATCTTGTAAAATGCAGCAAGCAGCTCCTCCTGTTTGTCTATTAAAGTGAATTTACGGTTCACGCACGGGAATGATGAGATTCAGAGATTCGTGTCCTCCATGTTCCAGAGGTTCCGACAAGAAAGTAGATGCTGCGTTTGGAGTTTATAGACTTCAATTCTCTCATTTCTATTCTACACAAGAGCTTATGGTCCCATCGTACAAAATTCTGATCTACAGGCTATTTCAGAAGCTGTTCAAAGTAACAAGCTTACAATGTGCAACAGGTCATATTTTAGTATCGATCCAAACAAAGTAAATACAGGCCCATATCGCCGATATCAACATCGACACCAATGATGATACTTATTATTTGAGTTTGATGTAAGAAAATCAAAGCAAAATCCTTCTGTGGCAGAGTTGACCCTGGCCAGTGGGCGTTCAGAGGACAGCAGGGCGCTGGCAGAAATTTTTACAAAAGGGGCGATGAAATTTCTTTGGGGGGAATTTGCTCCAAGGTAAGCTTTACACGTTAAATGCATAACAATACCAGTTTAGACTTTGAGCAACTTGCTAAAACTGTATTGTGTAAGATTAAAACATGCTTGGCTGCAATTGTACCGATGGCATCTCTTCGTCTCTTCAGTGTTTGATGGCTTCTTGGTGCAGCTCCAGGCTCCTGCTACTAGTAACTTCACCATCAGTTCAGGGTTACAACGGCTGATGACTTTACTGTGATTCACTTGTCTGCTGTCTGATTTTCAAATATTTTATGTTTTATTGAGGATGTTTGGACATATGTTTTGGTCGTAATGTGATCTTATCAAAGCACCAACTTATATTAAAAAATGTTTTATCGTCTGTCAGGATGCTGCCTGCTTCCATGGAAGGACAACAGAGTATCGCTCTTATGTAATTACTAAACTCATGATGTACTTACTCACTGTGTATCCATCTGAAAAATGAACTCAGTTAAATAAAGAAATCCCTCCAATGGTGATACTGTCATGTTCTGTGTTTTTCTGTGCATTGAGTCTCCTCGTTGTCCTGCCTTCCCCTCTATCACTCCCAGCTGTGTCTCGTCTTTGTGATTACCCTCTGTGTATTTAATCCCTCCTGTGTCCTTTGTTCCTCGTTGGGTCCTCGTCTCATTTTGTCCTAGGTCGTCTCCACGTTTGTGTCCATTCGTGTACCCTGATCGCTACCGCCGTTGAGCCCTGTCTCCGCTCAGCCGAGCTGCAAGGTGTTTTGGACTGTGTGTTTCTGGACTCGTTATTAAACCATCTTCATTCATCTTACCTGGACGTCTTGGGTAAAATATATCTGTCATTTCAGGACAGATACCACAAAGAGCGTTGGTTTTATAGCGTTAAAATTAGCACAGTAAGTGATCAGGTCTGAAACGGTAGTACCACCGCAATTTAGAATTTTAATCATCAGTATCCCGGGATTTTGTCCTTGTATTGAAAGGTTTTCATCAGTCTGTTTTTCTCCATCGATACGAGTTTCCCAATCGCTCCGCACCGTATAAAAGAAACAAAACAATGTGCAAGTTGCGCAAAACTCTGAAACAGGAGAACCGAGACGTAGAACGTAACAAACTATTTGTGACTCAGGATCAGGGAATCCGGCGGTGAACAGTGAAAAATCAATATGAGGGCAAATCAGGTGAAACACAAGAGGATTAGGCGGCGCAGCACGTGATGAGTGAAGCTTACTGGTAATCAATACAAACAATGAAATAAACCTTAAAACAGGAAAGAAACTAGACATAGCAATAAACCAAAATATGATCATATTAATCAAAGAATACTAAATGGAAATTATTGTAAAACAAAATTTAAGAATAAACTAAAAAACTCAATTAAATACAGGAGAATACATTTGTATGGCAAGAATAAACAGACACTGTTTTCAGATTAAAGGTAAAGTAACATTATTGAAGTGCCATGGGGTGTTGGGACCACATCTAATATTAAGGAGAAATATATTTTACAGACAATAACAGTAAGAAGCTTATCACTTATTTCTGCTTTTAATTAGATTTTATTGGACATATTTATTTCTTCAGTATCATTTCTTATGTCAATGTTAATATCATGAGGCTGTTCAGTGACTCCAGGACATTTTCAATTTGACTCATTAGGATTGATTAAGAACCTTCTTTGTCATTTCTGTCCAGTAAAACGATTAATCTGTAAATCAATAGACAGGTCTGTATATAGATATAATCCATGTTTCTGTCCCATATTTGTATGGCATGAAAAGGATCTGGAACTTTTGTTTTAAAGCACTGGTTTACACAGTAAATGCCATGTTGGTGAAATTTTATGAATGATACTCTGATGTCCCGTTCTCCTGAAGGCAGCACAGGGCTGGACGACCAGAAACTGACAGAAACACTGAAGAGAAGAGTTAGGATTAGGATATAGTTGCAGTTCTATCCATGTTTTAATGTTTTTTGCAAATAGCTCAAACTTTAAACTTGTATTGTTGTACATCTTTTATCTGGTCATTTTGTGAAAGATTTAACAACTAACATCAGAAAATGACAGAACAAGAATATTTTTGTCCACTCTGATTAGCTACTGTTAGGTCTACCCATTTCAACTTGAATGTCCATTGTATTTTTCTTAGACGCTTGTAAAAATAATTTCTATTCACATGGCTTGTTAGTTCTCTGGGAAATCATTTTTGATGATAAAAACAGAAACAAGCATAAAAATCAAAACATCAACAATAGTAATAATAAAATAATATTCAGTGCAAACCATGAATGTTGGATATTTGTAGATTCTTTGATGGGGGGAGGTGAAGGACCTGGATGAAGGACAGGGCGCTGTCCCAAAAAAGGTTGAGAAACACTGGTCTAGTGGAAGCTAATGCTAAAGCTAGCTCTAATTTCAACCATGTTGATTCCCAAACTTCAACACATATCAAACTTTACTCAACAGAAAGTTTATACAGTAACAGTAAATTAGCTTTTTAGACTTTATTCTGAAAATATATTTAGCCAAATGAAAGTGCATTAAATGTTTTCAAAGTCAGCAAAAATGCTAAACACAAAATGATCTCCTCTATTAGTGGAACTATTACCAGGCGTCTTCTGGGAAGCTAACAGCATTGAACCTTTGTGATTGGATAAAGTTTAAAACCTCAACAGTCCAAGAAGTTGTTTTTCAATAAAAACAACTGCTATGCTCTGCGTAGACCAAGTTTCGGCAAACTACACTCTGCTTTGAGTATTGTTCGAAGCAGAGGATAGGCTGATTTTTAACCAGACTAAGAAACTACGATTCAAAATTAAAAACGTTTAAAAGGGAATCTGAAAGTAAAGTACAGATCTTACCAGCATCAATCTGAACCGCCTTGGTTTAGATACTCTAATATTTTGGGTCGATTCAGCCTCCTCTACAACATGCATCATATAAATAGAGACCAATAGTGGCTCCTTACGCGTGCAGCCGCTCATGCCTTCAGTGATGATGGCACGGAAGTTCCAGAAGCCCGGCTCACAGCGGTCACACTTCTGCCCGCCGACCCCCGGCTTACAGGAGCACTGGCCACTGGTCGGGTCGCAGGAGCCTTTGTAGGAGCCATGGACGTTACACTGACAGGTACCTGAGGAAAAATACAGCACAGTCTGTGTTTTCCAGCTTTTTAAATCCTTGCTACACATAAATGCATGGCTTTACTAATGTGAAACTCTATCCATCAGCATATTCTATTTCTAAATCTGCATTTTTCCTATCTTTGAAGCATCTTGAAGATTACAGCAAGATGCCAAGTTTTCCCTAAATCTGTGTCGCTATCAAGAGTCGAGATCATCAGTAGAGCAAAGATTTGTTTCTGTTGATAAAGACCAGCATCATCATAATTATTCTTGGGATTAAGATGAAAAGCTTCCAACTCTGCAACTTTGCTTGTAATCTTACAGAAACTGCAACTCAAGGGCAACGCGCCGTCACGGCTCGACAGCATGAGACATGTAGCAGGCCGAGGGAGAAAGGCTTACTGGGACATCCGGCCTGTCCGAGCCCTAAGGCGGCGGTGATGTTGTCAGAGCAGCAGCCGTACGGAGAGAGGCCGCAGTGCTGCGGCGCCGTCAGCTCTGTCGGAGACGTAACATAATTCTCTGAGGAGGGAAGGATGAAGAAGAGATGGAGGAAGATTTAAATGGATGAAGTTTAGATTTATTGGACAAAATATAAAACAATTTAAATAGATTAAAGTTATTTTCAAAAATATGAAACCAGGAGGCTTGGAACCAGCTTCCAGGTAACAAGTTTATCTTCTAGTTTTACTACAATGGCTCCACATCAGGAAGGGAAAGAGATGCTATTACCTCTAGTGAAAAGAAGCAATTCCTTCCTGCTGAATTTGACATTTACCACCTACCAGCAGGGACGTTGTCTTCATTTGTCCCTGTCTGTGGAGCTGCACAGGAAACCTACATCTTAAACAAAGATGTAGATTTCCCCTCACATAAGGGGGGCACATCCTCCTTATGTGAGGGGATGTGCCAAGCTGCTTCTGCCTCTTTTGTCTGCAGCAGCAGGCAAGCCAGCGTGGCAGAGCTACATTCAGCCCGATAGAAACAAATGTGTTCCTCACGCTGGCCTTCCTCCAGAAGCTGGCAGCTAACAACAAACACAATAGGAAGAGGGAAAAGGTGGCGGGGCGGAGGGGATTTTTTAATAGCCAAGGCAGAAAAAGAAAAAAGAAAAGCCCAGCGTTAAACTTTTCCTCCAAGCATTTGAGTGAAAAGTGAACTTGTGGATAAAAAACAGAGAACCCCTCTGTTCTGCCTGGTTCTTTCTCTCTCTATTCCCCAACCAATCTCCCTTTCTTATGTTGCTAATTTGGAGTTTGGAGGCTGGAGATACGGCGGCCATAAATCACACTGTTACTGGTGTGGATATGAGCCACAGCCTAATGGTGATGACTCGGCTCGCTCCTTTTTTCCAGCTCTTTCCCACTCCAGAGATGAGCTTTGGACACAGTTCATTTAACTTGCCACTTTCCAACGCTGCACTCAGCTATCTGCACCCGGCCTATTAGGACAAGGAGAACTTTTAATTTCATACATTCCTCCACCCTGTACTTGGTTTTCTCTGCAGTAGCTGTTGTCTGGCACAGTGCTGCTGACTTTGACATGCAATACTACCTTCATATTTTCCAACTCAACTCCATTTATTTCCTTTGTATAGAACTATCTTTTATATTCCTGGACATATTATCATTTCCACAGAACTGACAGACATGTTTTTGGATTGTATTGAATGTCTTGACCCTGATTTGAGCTGACAGGTACCAGTGAGAGATTACCTGAATTACTTCAGGATGATAAAAGTGATAATTCATCACGATTCAACTTTTTTAGATTTAGTCTCGCTACAATTATAAACCATTATATGTTCATATAGTGGTAAACAAAGTAAATACAGGCCCATATCGCCGATATCAACATCGACACCAATAATGATACTTATTATTTGAGTTTGATGTAAGAAAATCAAAGCAAAATCCTTCTGTGGCAGAGTTGACCCTGGCCAGGGGGCGTTCAGAGGACAGCAGGGGGCGCTGGCAGAAATTTTTACAAAAGGGAGGCGATGAAATTTCTTTGGGGGGAATTTGCTCCAAGGTAAGCTTTACACGTTAAATGCATAACAATACCAGTGAACTAACTAAAAACTTTCCTATGTTAACTCTGTAGCACTAGTTATAAACATTAGTTTGAAGAAGCTATTGCTACCTTCAGTTTGAATCATATCGGCACTGAAAGATGACCAATTTACTTTTTCCATAATTTACATGTTCTCTAGAGTGATACTAGGTATTGCATTCATGTTTACTTCTTTCGTTCTCTGTTCACTGTTTTTATTTTCCTCCTGTATGTTTCTTGTTTGAAAAAAAAATAGAAGGTGAAGATCAATGTTTCCTCTAATTGTCAATGTGTCTGGGTATACACACAAACTTCCTGAGCACACTGAGGACCACTGTGGGCATCATCAGTGTGCACGGCGTGGCCATGCACAAGTATTACACCTGTTATAAATCTGGGATCATAGAAAGTCGCATGGTTTATTGAAAGAATCAGATTACATCAGCAATTTTCAGTTGTTTGCTTTTAATTTCAGTGATTTGCCCAATTAAAATTGAAAAAAAAAAAAAAACAAAAAAACAAACATTGCTGTTCATGAGATGCATGTTATAAGAGTCCTGCTTCAGCCAGGGTGAGAAATGAGACATCAGACCTTTCAGACATAACTGTTTGTTCATATTAAAACATTCACATTTTGCACAACGAAATGTTTTCTGTAGCTTGTGATGCAGTATAAATGACTATTAATGGCCTCCATAATCTGTGGGTGGAGGAGAATGGCCTCATACTTCTTTGCCAGTGTACAAATGTCTGCTTATCCAGTCAAAAGTTTGAACTCAACATTTCAATATCAAATGCAGACCGTTCCTTTAATTCATGCTCTGATAAACGAGCATCACAGCACTTACTCATAAAAAGAGTAATGGCAACGGTGACACGGTCCCTCAACTGTACACTGGACTGTTCTTCTAGTTGCACAAACTCCGACAGCCATTTGAAAAAAGTAATGCACTTCTTAAAAGAAGTGTATAACTTTTTTTTTTACTTTGGTGAGGGGATGTCCCACTGAGGCGTGATAAGGTGTTATCTTTCACGTCTCTTAACTCCACCGCACTATTCTTACCTGCACTGTGCCACAGCGCATATGACCAAGACACATACACAAAAAACATGTGATGATTGGCTGCAGTGAAACTGAACCGTATCGTATCATTGGCTGGACACCTTTCACTCACTGAGGTTGATCGCAAAGTAGTACAGAAAAAATGTTATTGGTCCAAACTGATGTCTGAGCTCAATGTCCACTTTACCTTGGACTTTATTTTATGCGCTTCCTAGATTTTCTTGTGCGCTGAGAATGTGCGAGCAGTGCACGATTGCGCAGGAGCAGCTTAGAGGGAACATTGGTGAGGAGAGGAAACAGAACGACTGTGTAAACAGTTTTCACCTCTTCAAAATAAGAGCATGACTGAAAGCCTCTGACTAATTGAAGAATTTTAAAACAAATAAGCAAAACTTTAACACAGTTGTTACTCAACTGAAAGTGTATAAAACAACCGGGTTAATTAGCGCTGTAGAATTTGTCCAGATAAAATGCATTAGGGGAAGCTAAGTGCGCTAAACGCTTTCAAAGTTAGCAAAAGTGCTAAATGAAAAATTAGCTCTGCTATTATCAGATTAGCCGAAGAGAGACTACCACTGGTTAAAAGATGTTGAAGTTCAGTTGTCGTCTTTCATTTGACTTTACGGTCTTCTGCTATGGTTTCAGGTAAAATTCCAGTAAAATAAATTAAACTTAATAAGCAAATATTTGTTGTTTCATACAAGGTGCTGTAATTGTTAGGAAAGTTGAAGTTAGTGTCAAGAAGTTTTCTTACAAATCAGAGCAACTAAAACCCAGGGCTGATTCTGGCTTCTGAACTTAAGGTCAAGATCAAAACTGGTCCTGACATAACTAATGTGGAAGCCAGGAGAATCCCACAGATGTGAGTTCATCCATGAGCCAATAGAGCAGAAGCCCATAGGTCTGGTACACACAGAGGGCTGTTCAGAAAGAGGATTGATTATCCATGGAGGGTAGAGAAGCGTGACAGTCAGCCCAAAGGAGGCCAGCTTACGAGGAAGAAGAATCAGCAAGGATGTTAGTGGAAACACTGGGAGCTGCTTCATTCTCCCTCTGCTCAACTCCCTCCATCCTCCTCTCTTTTGGATCCAGAGTGATCACACAAAATCCCCAAAGTGTCTTTTGCTCTGCAAACGCCTTTACCAGCAAAAGCTCTTCATTTGACACAGCCATAGAGAGGAAGGTGGTTAACCTTTGCGGCCTGGCCACTGATCTGACAATCAGCTCTCTGGGTAAATGCCATTATTGCATGCAAAGAAGAGCTGTTTATATTAGTGTAAGTGGAGCAAAGTGGTATCCTCAGGGTTAGCAGTCAAGTTTAATGGTTTAAATTGTCAGACTTTCAAGACAGAAAAAAGACTCATTACTGCAATCAGCTCCTTCCACACACAGGCCCGTGAGAAAGATTTTAACACCAACCAGCCTCCAGAGGAACCATCAGTTTCACTAAAATTCTGAACATTCCTGGAGCGCATCACGCAGACAAGGCAAAGCACTTTTAAGCATTATCTACAACATTTTATTAGCTTTTAGCAACTGGGCTGACAAAGAAGAGACAACAAAGATTATGTCAGAATTATATTGGGAGGAGAGATAACCTGTCAATGGAGGGAATGAGTGGAGAAATGGGATGACAGCGACAATGATGATGGAGTAACCTGCAATCACTGTATGTGTTTATGTGTGAAGCACCGACCTGCACAGGGACCCTGACTCTGAATCAACAAGAGCCTCCTTTCCAAACATTTGGTGTTTTTTAGCTCACACTCATTCCGGTAAGTTTTCCCATCTGAGCCACAGACCTGCGGAGAGAGAGCAGATACAGACAGGGAGATTTCTGACATGATGGCAAGTTATTTTTGTCAGACATAAATAAACGGTTTACCTTTTCAAAAACCAAACACACATCAACCCAACGTATGTCGATGGATTCCCTCTCAAAGTCTCAGAACTTCTGATTAATAAAATGCAACTCGAGGAGACTTTTGGATGAGCATAAAGAGGTTATTAGTGAGGCATTTTACATAAAAAACCCAGCATCTAATATGTTTCAATCCAGTACGTTCTCACTTCTGACTCGTCTACACAGTGTTCCTAATTATTATGCAAATTGAATTTAAGCGTCATAAAGATTACATTTTTTGTTGTGCTATTAAATTTATAGATTATATTGTGTGTCAGGGCTCTTTGAATCACTATAATTAATTTCAGAGAGCTGTTTGATTAGTTTGTCTGGTGAGCTCAATTAAAAGAAATCTACTTAAGAAGGATGTTCCACATTATTAAGCAGGCCACAGGTTTCAAGCAATATAGGAAAGGGAAAATCATCATAGTGTAGTGTCGTATGAGAAGGTATGAAAATATTAGATATTTAACGAAAACTGAAGTGTTATCGTACTGTGAAGAGATTTGTGGCTGATTCGGAACAAAGATGGATTTGTACAGATAAAGGCATAATGAGGAAGTTTTCTGTTAGACAAATTAAGAGATTAAGGATTAAGAGAGCAGCTGTTAAAATGCCCTTACAAAGCAGCAAACAGTTATTTGAAGCTGCTGGTTCCTCTTGAACCTCAAGGTGGAGGATCCTCCAGAGGCTTGCGGTGCATGAACCTATTATTCGGCCACCCCTAACCAGCTGACAAGTAGAAACGCTTGCAGTGGGCCCAGCCGTACATGAAGACTCATTTTCAAACAGACTTGTTCACTGATGACTGCTGTGCAACCCTGGATGGTCCAGATGGACGCAGTAGTGGACTGGTGGTGACAACAACACGGCTGTGACGTCAGAAGGAGGTCTTGGAGTCATTTTTTTGGGCCAAAATCATGAGGAGAGAGAGAGAGAGAGAGAGAGAGAGAGCTGGTGGGCCCCTTCAGTGTCCCTGAAGGTGTTAAAATGAGATCAGCAAAGTATATGGACTTTCTGACTGATTATGGTTCAAAGGGAAGAGCCGTACCTTCCTTAGCAAAATCATCTTTATGCATGACAATGCACCATCTCATGCTGCAAGGAATACCACTGTGTCACGCCCTGCTATGGGCATAAAAGGGGAGAAACTCATGGTGTGGTCACCATCCTCCTCTGACCTCTGACCCTATTGAGAACCTTTGGAGTTTCCTCCAGCAGAAGATCTGAGGCTGGGAATATCTTCCCAGAGCAGCAGTTCTGGGAAGATATTCTGACATCCACTTAATGCTGCGCAATGACTGTTTGAAGATATTTAAAATCCATAAAATGTTGAGAAAATCTGCTGTGCATAGAATAATTTGGAACAGTGCATCTTGAGTTTTTTTATTTTTGATACTGTTCCCATGGGGAGCTTTATTCAGCAAAATTGTATTTATATTGTAATAGTTCATGACTTGAAATTTATACTGACCATCATTTGCATTAACCATTTAAGAAAATCTGAGAAAACATCACTTTCATAATAATATGGAACACGGTTTGCGTAGGATTGGGCAGGTTCCCTCTGCATCATATGTTGACGCACCGGCTACCCCCTTCTCGTCAATAGTTGACGTTCTGGGTGCTCTCATTGAATGTTGTAGCGCTTCCTAAGTCTCCGAAACTGACAATCTGGGAACGAAGAGGATGAGTCCATTCTAACACAATTTGTGCACAACTGATGAGACTATGATTTACCAATTTTGTTAATTTTATTTTATATTTAAAAGATCCTCTGGGTAGCAGAAATGAAGATAACATCATGGCTTCAGAGTCCTGGAGGATCTTTCCCGATGCGTCAACATGTGACGCATCGGGACGCTGCCCATGCATCCATAGACGAGTTGGGAGTGAAAACATGTTGTTCAATCAGTTCCAACAACATATTATACAACCCATGCATAACCCTTCCTAAAATTATGGCTTAGGTCATTTTTTACCAACGGTGATTTGTTTTCTTAAACTTTGGCAAAAAATGATATAACCCTTTGTTTTAGAAAGATAACAATAAAAGATAATAATAAATGTATCTAATTACATTTGATTTCATAATCTCCATGTTTGTTATTTACTGTGATTTCTGAAAAGGATCTCAACACATTTAGATTCACACTTCAACTGTTGGAACAGCTGGTTAAATCTCGCCAGAAACAAAACGCTACACCAGTCTAAACCTGTAGGTGAGCGCCTGCTTTTCCTGGAAGATGTACCTCGTTGAGTGGCACGCTCTCACAGTTAAAGCTGCAGATGCAGCGTTCATCCTCTTCGTCCTCGTTCCAAATCCCATCATACATCATACAGCGCTCCTGTTCGCAGCTCTCCAGTCCGGAGCCAGATGCCCCCGAGCCACATTCTGCAAATGAAAACACAAAACTCACTGTGTCATTCATAAAACACACACTGAAATCACTTTTTTCAGAACAAACATATTTTTGTTCAACATGATGCAAAAATTTCCTGAGTGACCAAATTTCAACATTCATGCTAAAAGAGAAAAGATGAAAATAACTGCTGCTGCTATTAGTGTAAAATAATGACCCCGTGCAGCTGAGGCTGGATGGTGACTAAATAGATTAGACGTCTATGCACCTCCAATGAGGCGTCCTTTTTATTTCGATTAAATCAGAAATAAAAAAGGGAGGGAATCTGTGGCCTTTCAGTGGCGGGCGCCCTGCTCTATGGGTGCCTGCCTCCTGATATGAGAATGCAGCTAATTGCACAGTGTTCTGTTCAATTTAATTATCTCCTGAGACCTTGGAGAAAAGTTGTTACAGCAACTCTTTAACTGTGACCCTGAAAGGTCGTTCACTTGCATTAAAAGCGAGGGAAAGTCTACTCATTGAGTCGCCAGCAAAAAGTATGAAAATCCTTCATTTTCTGCTTGTTTTGTGCATTTTTATTCTTCCTAAAAGGGATTAAAAGGACAGAGACATGTGAGAGCATGTGGTTTTGGGGTTTCGTTTAAAAACAACAAATTGAGCAGATGAGGAAAGTGGGAGGATCCCGTCTTTTGAAGCTGCGAACATCTCCTGCAGCGTGGTCCCAGGAGAGATTAGGTGAATGCGCATGAAGACAGGAGTATGAAAGCGTGTCAGATGGGGCAAGAGGCTCATGAGGCAGGAAGAAAGTTCATTCAAAACTAATTTGTCATTCAGAAAAGGAACTAAAAGCTCCCAGAGACGCCCAGCGGATTCAAGCGGCGGGTAATCAGGGTGTTCCTTCTTCTGGTTCTTATTCCACTCCGTGTATTGATGCTCCGCCTCTAATGGCGAAATCGATGTCCCAGTGATGGAAGTAGCACTCAGCGTAACCCATCTTCTAAAGTAGATTATGGAGAAGGTCACAGAGCCAGGATGGAAGGGCTTTTGAAGGGTCGATAGAACAAAGGGGCTCTGACTTTATTATATATTACAGACCCAATCTACCAGAACAATTGTTGATTAATATGACAGTTTCTTTCACTTTGGGATCAATTAAGTATTTTTGAAATTACTTGAATTTGAACAAACATCAGGCACAAGTGAGACATTTACACCAGAATGCTATTTATCCTGAGACCCTTTAACATATGTATATATTTGTAACCCCAATACCCACCAATAACCACCGAGACTAACCCTAATGCGTTTAGCTATCTGTAACCACTAACCTAAACCCTTTTACCAACATAAACCATTGTAGCGTCGTATTGATTGCGGTCTGGAGTTTCATAAAACGTTTAGTTTTGCGGCTCTCGGTTCTCAGCCACCGGTGACATTACTGCGGGTATTCCTGTCTCAGTTGACCTTGGAAGAAAAGATGAAAATACAAACGAGGACAGATCAGAGGGAGGATGAAGCAGTGATGGTTGGCCTCCTGCATTTGTTTACTGTACGCCAGCTCAGCAAGGCACAATAAAAGAGCCAAGCCAGTCCACCCAATTCATATTCCGCTCAGGCGCCCTTGCAGAGTCGAGTTACATAAATAAAAGAGGTAAGATATTAAAAGAGAATAAATAAATAAAAGAGAAAAGCAAAGAGAGGGGGTCCTAATTAGTGGCTTTACTTTGATGTGTCCACCACCTGCGCCGCCTATGAACCTTTCAATTAATACATCCCCAGCTAACATGGCTGCATCAGTTATCTCTGCACTGCCCATCCGATCCTTTTTACTCAATCATGTCAGAGGCCCGAGTCCATTTAGCCGAGGGAGCTCCATTAAGAAGACGGAATTCAGCAGCCAGGGAAGAAAAGGACGTGGATTGCATGAGGATAATTTTGAAGAAATATAGCGGGGATTTGACAATGAAAATAATATTAGAAATGAACTGCATTGTCGAAGCTTCGGGTATTGAGCTGAAAGAACAGAACATGGGTAAATAATTGAAGCTTCAGGAGGAAGTGTGGGAGATATACTGAGCTCTTGGTAAACTGCTGCTGGATCAGGATCCGTCTGACTACATCCTCACACTCAACACCAGTTTGGATTATTATTATTACTATTATTATTATTGCTTTGAGGCATTCAGGTGATTTCCACAATGACGGCGATATTTAGATCACCTGTTTCTCTTGTCCACATGCAAGTCAAGTTTAAATATAAAAAACAGACTTTTATCCAACTGGAATGGATATCTAGAGGTTGGGAACAAACTGCTCTGCAAATGTTTCAATCGAAATAGTAGAGCAATCATAATGTCTTGGCATTGTCATTACTGCAATAATCTATTGATGTAGCAGCAACAACGTGTGAACAGTGATCTCCTCTTTCTTTTTTATCATTTAACTGTTTATAGGTATGTTTCACATTTGTTTACATACACAGTGTACATGAACACATCACACTCAACATAACAGCATAGAAATAAAACCTTCGCTTGGGAGCTATTCCTCTATATGACCTTTGTTCCATCTAGTTTGTCTTGTTCTCTCTATTTTTTGTCGCTGTCTTTTGTCATGAATGTAATCCATTTGGTCCATTTGTGATTGCTGAAGTCTCAATGTGTGCCAGTTTTTCCTTGATGTAAATGTCTTCCACTATTCCAGTCCATTGTTCTTGACAGGGGGTCTGCCTTTCCCCATTTCCTTGTGATAGCTTTTGTGCTAGCTATTAACATGATCTTAATCAGATACCTGTCTTTACCCTTACTTTGATATTGTTAAAATTGCAAAGACAAAAGTACCATGCTACTCATTGGAATATTATAGGAATATTAGGGCCATTTTAGCCAAAAACAAAAACAAAATATGGAACTCAAAAAACTGAACGGGGCCATTTTTCTGAAAACAAATTCTTTAAAATAAAGTTTGATTGGCTGAACAGTGATTAGCTTGTACTTGGAACCCAATAAGTTCATTGTCTCATCTCTTGAGCTGAATGTTTTATTACATCCCTAGTCGTTGTCAAAAACATTGTGATCTTTGACAGGGGCCATTCTACGATTTGAGCTTTAGGGGTGCTTAGCCCCCAGAAGGGCTAAGACCCATGAGATGATATTTGTTTGTGTGTTTTCTGAATCTGCTTATTTACATACATTCACAAACAAAATTAAAAGACATGTCAGTAATTCATAGAATAAAAGAACAATGTTCATTTTACTCAAACATATATTTATCAAGAGTAAAATCAGAGAACCTTCATTTTATCCAGAGGTGTATCCACTCAGTTTGAAACAGAAAGACATAGAGGACAGTTACAAGTACCTAGGTATACCACAAGCAAATGGCAACCTCGATGAGGTCACAAGGAAAGGAGCCACAGCTAAATACCTCCAACGAATAAGGCAAGTCCTGAGAAGCCAGCTCAATGGCAAGAACAAAATCCATGCGATAAACAGCTATGCCCTGCCAGTAATCAGATACCCTGCTGGAATAATTAGCTGGCCAAAGGAGGAGATAAAAGCCACAGATATTAAGACTAGAAAGCTACTAACCATGCATGGAGGGTTCCATCCCAAATCCAGCACCCTGAGACTGTACACGAGCCGCAAGGACGGAGGCAGAGGACTAGTGAGTGTGAGAACCACTGTCCAGGACGAAACAACTAAGATCCATAAATACAAAAGGGACAAAGCCTCAACAGACAATGTGCTCAGTGAATGTCTCAGACAACAGGGAACGGAGGTTGAGGTGCCAGAGATACCATCATGGGAGGACAAGCCCCTACATGGGATGTACCACCAGCAAATAACCCAAGTGGCTGATATCAGTAAATCCTACCAATGGCTGGAAAAAGCTGGACTCAAGGACAGCACAGAGGCCCTCATCCTGGCCGCCCAGGAACAGGCCCTAAACACCAGAGCAATAGAGGCCCAGATCTACCACACCAGACAAGACCCAAGGTGTAGGTTGTGCAAGGAGGCCCTGAGACAGTCCAGCACATCACAGCAGGGTGCAAGATACTGGCAGGGAAAGCGTACATGGAACGACATAACCAAGTGGCAGGCATAGTGTACAGAAACATCTGTGCAGAATATGGACTGGAAACCCCGAGATCAAAGTGGGAAACACCCCCAAAGGTGGTGGAGAACGCCAGAGCTAAGATCCTGTGAGATTTTCAGATCCAGACAGACAAAATGGTAATGGCGAACCAACCAGACATTGTTGTAGTGGATAAACATCAGAGGAAAGCCGTTGTGGTAGATGTAGCAATACCAAGTGATTGCAACATCAGGAAAAAGGAGAGACTGGAGAAGTACCAGGGAAGAACTGGAGAGGGCCTGGAAGGTGAGGACCACAGTGGTGCCTATGGTCATTGGGGCCCTCGGGGCAGTAACCCCCAAACTGGAGCAGTGGCTACAACAGATCCCAGGAACAACATCAGACATCTCAGTCCAGAAATGTGCAGCAGTCCTTGGCACAGCCAAGATACTGCAGGACCCTCAAGCTCCCAGGCCTCTGGTAGAGGACCCGAGTTCAGAGGATGAGAACCACCCACGGTGGGTGAGAAGGGATTTTTATATATATATATATATATATATATATATATATAGTCAGTGTTTAGTCAGTATTTTTATGGAGACACTAAAAAAATAATTAAACAAACACAGAGCAATGTTTCATCATTTAATATGTGAACCAAAGAGCCACTTGTGTCTCCAGAGATGCACGTTGCAGATACTGATCTAGCAGACGGAAAGTGTGATCCTATCTCAATATAGTAGCTAAAAGTGCAGTACTACAATTTTTAATTCATTGTTGAAATAAAATTATGAAGGTTTAAAAAATATCAACCACTAAATATTTAAAAAAGACATTTATTTAGAATGATTTCTTCAGAACTCCTGTTGACCCCCATCTAGAACCGCCCCTGGTCTGCAGGTCTGGTACATTTTTGCTTAGTATGTTTTTTTCTTCATTAATTAGAAGTGAGGTT